CCAATTTTGCGCAAAACACAACCACACAAACATATCACAATGTCTTCTAACCAGTACGACGCTCAGGCTTCTACCAACTACAAGGAGGCCTTCTCCCTGTTCGACAAGCGCGGCAACGGCCGTGTCGCCATCGACAGCTTGGGCGACCTCCTCCGCGCCTGCGGCCAGAACCCTACCCTCACCGAGATCCGCGACCTCGAGAAGAACGTTGGCGGCGACTGTGAGTTATGTCCCAAGGAAGAATCGGCGTATGCCATCAGCATAGAGACACGATACTGACCTGCGATGTTTGCGCGCGCAGTCGACTTTGAGACCTTCCAGCGCATTCTCAACCGCCCCGGCGGCTTCCGCGACCCTGGCGAACCCGAGGAGTACTGCCGTGGTTTCCAGGTCTTTGACAAGGACATGACGGGCTTCATCGGCGTCGGCCAGCTCAAATACATCCTCACCAATCTCGGCGAGAAGATGTCCGACGACGAGGTCGACGAGCTTCTCAAGGCTGTCGACACCAGCTCTGGCCAGGTCAACTACACCGGTAAGCCGTCATCTTTGAACATACTGCTTGCATACCAAGCAATGAAGACCCGTGTTTACTGATACCTGTGTGACAGAGCTTGTCCGAACCATCCTCGCCAACTAGATTCATCCAGCGAGTGAGCGTTGTACAAACAGATCTGAGGAACGAGCTGTAGGCAGTTTACGAAAAGAGAAGAGAGAGACTTTTGCATGGCTGGCACGATGGGAAATGGCGTTTGCTTTTGCGTTGCGATTGCGTTGTTCGCTATTGTAGGGAATTTGGGTATTCTGGAGTTCACCACCGCCTCCTCAGAGGCGTTGCTCCGGACCACACGACACATGTACGGGACTGAATAGAACCGATACCAAAAGAAATAAATACCATGATACCAACATCATCGCGCGTACGATTCTCCCATAAGATGGATGTTTACGAGGTAGTCAGGGGTCGGGCCTGCGTGGAAACGCATGTTGGGACAAGAGGTCCAGAATTCGCGATACATCCACTGCCTCGTGTCCTTGGAACCAAGAAGGCTGAATGCAAAGCACAATTTCTTGCGGCTCTACGGCTATGCTACGGCCTCCGCGATCTAGTCATGTTGATCCATCGGCCTCAGCCATGATGTCGCACCTGGCCTTGGCCCGTCTGCCCAGCAACAAAGGACCCCACACAATCTGGCAGGTGCAGTGGTCTTATGTAAGCTCGCTTCCGTCAGGCGATGTGGCCTGCATCTTGGACCTGCAGGATTGCGGGACCGAATGTTTCCAGTCGACAGAGATCATTCAACTAAATCGTCTGAATACTCGTCCATTTACTCTATGCTTTGAGATGAGACTTGCTGCGGAGGCTCTATATGCTACAAAATTCTCTTCGAATGTACCTGTGGCTTCGCAAAAAAGTGCAATAGTAAATGCAGAGCATGGCTCCTGGTTGTACATCGAGACCCCGCTTGATTCAGCGTGGGGCGTTACAGCCCGGAACGTCGTAGCGCCGGGAGCTCGAGGTAAGCTCACCTGGCAGGCCGCGACTGCCCGCCAAGGAAACCTCCAACTGGAAGGTGAAAGAGAAGGGGACCCCGTCGCATTCCGTACTCGTCAGGATTAACGTAAACCTTCATCCACTTATACACACATACACAAATCATCCCGCAAACTGCCAGAAGCTCGCTGCAAGTCACCGCTCTCAGTCCACTCTTTGCGTAGCTACATGTACCTTCGCGCTTAATCTCGCCTGTCACCTACCAACTTACGGCATCGATACCTCCACCTGCATCCATCCGCGTCTGCCCCGTGTCCAAGACCTGGGTCCTGCAGCTGCTCCTCCTCCTTCCCCCTCCCCCGCCCCGACGCACCCAACTCACCGACTGATCGAACCGTGTTTCGTCCAGTAGCCGTGGCGTCCTCCAAGCGTCCCCTCCTCTCCCTTACCTTCTTCCTCATATTCCTCCTCACAGCTCTCATCCTGGCGGCCCCAAGAGCAGTTCCGAGAATTACTTCTCTCTTTGCACAGCTGCGCTTCAAACCAGTCCAGCTACCCCTTGTCGCCACCCCATCTCTATCGACATACCGACCCTTGGTGACCGCCGCCATGACTGTCCCCGACAAGTACAAGTCGCCGCCCCAGGCGCCTCCTGTCTTCACCGGCACCAAGGAGTCCATCGTCGGCGACTCCAAGAAGATTTGCGACCAGACTCGCGCCCTTCTCGACAAGCTCGTTGCCGACTACCCCGCCGACAAGGCCACCTTTGAGAATGTTATGAAGCCCATCGCCAAAGACGAGAACGAGAGCGGACTGTCGACCCGTATCCTTGGCTTCTACCAATATGTCTCGAGCGACGCCGCCCTGCGCGAGGCTTCGACCCAGGCCGATACCATCATGGACGAGTTCTCGATCGAGGTGAACATGAGGGAGGATGTCTACAAGCTCGTTGAGGCTCTCCACCAGCGCAAAGACACAGAGGGCCTGGACCCCGAGAGCTTGAGGTTGCTGGAGAAGGACTACAAGAACTACATCAAGATGGGTCTGGGTATCCCCGCTGGGCCCCAGCGTGACCGCTTCAAGGAGATCAAGAAGCGTCTCAGTCAAATCCAGATCGAGTTCACAAAGAACCTCAACGAGGAGAACGGCGGCATCTGGTTCACAAAGGAGGAGCTCGATGGTGTTTCAGATGACGTCCTTGATGGTCTTGAGAAGGGCGCCGGCGAGAACGAGGGCAAGCTCAAGCTCTCCTTCAAGTACCCGGACCTCTTCCCGACTCTCAAATTCGCCAAGAACCCTGAGACGAGACGCAAGGTCTTCATCCAGAACGAGAACAAGTGCAATCAAAACGTTCCCCTCTTCCAGGAGGCCATCATTCTCCGTGATGAGGCTGCTCGCATGCTCGGCTACCCCAACCATGCCGCCCTGCGCATCGAGGACAAGATGGCTAAGACCACCAAGACTGTGAACGATTTCCTGGGCGACCTTCGCTCTCGTCTGACCGCCGGTGGCGCCAAGGAAGTCGAGCACCTCCAGGAGCTCAAGAAGGCCGACACTGACGCCCGCGGCGTTGAGAACGACGGCAACTACTACCTGTGGGATCACAAGTTCTACGACCGATTGATGATTGAGAAGGAATACAGTATCGACGAGAACAAGATTGCCGAGTACTTCCCCATCACCTCAACAATTGCTGGCATGCTCAAGATCTTTGAGGAGCTCCTGGGCTTCGTCTTTGTTGAGTTGAAGCCTGAGGACCGCAAGGCCCTCAGCCCCACTGGCAAGGGTGAGGATATCGCATGGCACGAGGATGTCATCATCTTCAGTGTCTGGGATGATGCTTCCGAGGGAGAAGGATTCGTTGGCTACCTGTACCTCGACCTGCACCCTCGCCAGGGTAAGTACGGCCACGCCGCCAACTTCAACTTGCAGCCCGGCTACTTGCAAGCCAACGGCTCGCGCAGATACCCTGCCACTGCTCTGGTCTGTAACTTCAGCAAGCCCACGCCCAAGAAGCCCTCACTTCTCAAGCACGACGAGGTCGTCACCCTCTTCCACGAGCTTGGACATGGTATTCACGACCTTGCCGGCCGCTGCACATACAGCCGTTTCCACGGCACCAGCACCGTCAGAGACTTCGTCGAGGCGCCATCACAGATGTTGGAGAACTGGTGCTGGACCCCTAGTGTTATCAAGGCGCTGTCCCAACACTACGAGACGGGCGAGAAGATTCCCGATGACCTCATCGAGAAGCAGATCTCCACCAAGCACGTCAACGCTGCTCTCTTCAACCTCCGCCAGCTCCACTTCGGTACCTTTGACATGACTGTCCACACCCCTGAGAGCCACGAGGCCATCAAGAAGTTGGACTTGTCAGCAACCTACAACGAGCTTCGCGGCCAGATCGCTGGCATCAAGGGCCCCGAAGCTCAGGGAGAGAAGAGGTATGAAACCACATTAAATTTCAAGGTACACAATACTAACAGATACAGCACCTGGGGTAACGGACAAGCCTGCTTCGGTCACTTGATTGGCGGCTACGATGCCGGCTACTACGGCTACCTCTCATCCGAGGTCTACTCGACCGACATGTTCTATTCCGTCTTCAAGGCCGACCCCATGAACGGCAAGGAGGGGCGCCGCTACAGACACACTGTCTTGGAAAAGGGTGGCAGCCAGGAGGAGATGTTGACCCTGGAGCAGTTCCTTGGACGCAAGCCTAGCACCGAAGCCTTCTACAAGGAGTTGGGCATCCCTCAGTAAGGGCCCTGATCGTAATGCCACAATAACGAGACGACGCCAGAATTGTATCTAATAGTACCAGATCGCGACTGTGATCACCCCCAAGACGGTCGCCTTCTAAAATGCAAGAAAAATAAGAATAACCATTGAAGATTCCGATGTCCCAAGCTAGCGTGATGGCCTTTCCTCAATGAATTGAGCCTGCCATTCTCATACCTTCTTAGTCAGTTCAAACGTAAGTATGTCTGAGCAAAGTGGAAATCTGCTTGTGGATCGTGCCTTCAAGGACTGTTTGGCCTCAGTATAATATGGAAGTAATTTTCTAATACCAGATGTCGTGTCTGATGCGATGTATCAGTTGCCACACAAGGTAACATAAGCAGGCACATTTCTTTACCTTGGGTACGGAATACATCATAGGTTGATAGGGGGCTTCGTGTCTCGGGTGAATACTTACTCACGATTATTCAAAGAACTCGCTGAGGCAACCTCTTCAACGAAAATAGAGCGCGTCAAACACGCTTCGGGGAGCTCCTTCTGTTGCTGCGAAAAGTCAGGCACGGAAGGAAGAAGGGCGGAGAAATCGACTCACGTCCATTTGATTCCAAGCCCTTTCAACTTCACTTTCCCTCCCATCTCACCCGTCTCACCCATCTCACCCGCGTTCGCTTTTGCTCTTTTCTCATTTTACTCATCCTTTCTTACTCGCCCTCGGCTTTCTCATCACCTGAACACATCTGTCATCATCAAGAAACGCCTCACGATGGCGAGGAAGCGAAACATTGACATTAATGTGTACGCCCATTCTCTTTCTCTTTTCTTCCTTACAATGAGTACCATCGCTAATCTGATACAGCATCTTCAAGTCTCGGCTCATCGTCTTCGTCATTGGCGAGAACAAGGTCGAATACAATGTCCATGAGGCAGCAATCAGCGGCCTCTCCGCGCCTCTCCGAGCGCTTGTGACCAACGGCATGAAGGAGTCCGTGGAGGGGGTCGTTGCCTGGGATGAGATCGAGCCTGAGGTTTTCACACAATTGGTGGAGTTCGCATACGGTTACGACTTGAGCTTGCACGATTACGACATGATAGAGAAGCCGATGAATAAAAACACGGATGAGGTCGCAATTGCATCGAGATCACTCCAGCAGCGCCTCTTGGTCGGAACGCTTCAGGCGCTTCGAGGACGGTAATCAGACAACCATACCGGAGCTCCTATTTGGCGAAGATCGCTTCAGGCTTCCAATCCTGAGCGAAGTCTGGGTCAAGAGATATTCTGAAATCGTTACTCACAACTCAGAGGACTATTTCATGGCTCACGCACGACTCTACTGTATAGCTGATCAGTACGGCATTACGAACTTGGCAGAGGTTTGCGTCGAAAAGCTGCAGAAGGTTTTCTACGAGCATCCCGTAAACGACATTCTCAATGAATCTATCTGCAAGCTTCTTCTCTTTGTTTGGCCTAGAACTGTTCCCAAGGACGAGCTTTGAGTACTCCTCATCGACTTCATTCTTACGAACTTGTCAAACGCCCTCACGAAGAACATAGCGATCTTTGGACCCGTCTTGGATAAAATCCCTGAGATCGCCGTTGCTATTCTACGCAGTGCGCCGGACCAGTACTGGCAAGCACTGAAGGAAACCAAAACCACTAAGGTCTCCCACTGAAACTTCGTTATACCCATTCCGTTGGTCTTCGTCTCAGCCTCACAGGCATCACTGCCTCGCTGATGTCATAATGCAGATATGCTCGCATATTGAGAGAAGCGAAACAAAGATTTCTCAAGGGAAGGGGGCCACGATGTTGGAACATGGGAACTTGAGAGCGTGGGAAGATGATGGAGAGGGATCCCAGAGAATTCGGTTTAGGGCTGTGACGCAGAGAAGGTCTGATATGGCAAGGCTCTTCACTTGCTGGGACACCTTAGACAGTATAGCACACAATGTCAAGGATCAGAATAATGGTGTTGGTTCTTGAACTCTTACTAAATCATGACATTGGGATTGACTTCTTTCTGCTCCCACCACGAGTCGAGTTGATCATCATTTGAGTATGCCTAGCGATGTCTATTCCAAACTTTGGGCGATCAAGTACTTGACTTCTTGGCCATGACCATGGAACAATGACACCATACAGTTCAGCTCCTCCCACCCAAGTTTGGCGGCTGTTTATGAAAGACTGAAAAATACACATCAAATTCGAGGCGCCACTGATCCTTAATCTCTGAAAACCCGAGACGAAAAAACCTCCGACCGCTGGTTGCCTTGCACCCCGGCGTCTCTGCTCTTGCGAGAACAATGCCTTTTCCAAGGAACACGTCTCTTTAGTGGATCGAGCTACTTTTCCCTAGCCAGACAATTCCCCGGTCCTACACTCCTCAACGCACCTCGCTAAACAGCGTCTTAGCCCGGCCAACAACGCTGCACATGCGAATCATCAATATGGACGAGAAACAAAGGGCGCTAGATATTACTTAGCAATACCGAGGAATTCGGATCTGCATCCACTTCTCTCTTTCCTTTTGGAAGGAACGGAGAGCTTGTATACCGGTCCTTCCATTCGACACGGGAGCCGCGACTTCCTTTCTTTCGCCAAGCTTTCCTATGTCTACGGTCCTTTCTCACGTCCTGTTTGACTTTCACTTCTCCATCCACACACACCTTCGCCCGCCAACGTCACGATGTCTCTCAAACGAAAGAGAGGAATCGAGGAGTAAGTTTTTGTCTTCTTTCGTCTAAGAAAAAAGATTCTAGGTTGAATATCTGACAACGTTTCATAGGATCATCGACTCCCGAGTCGTCACTTTCGTCATTGGCAAAGGCGATTCGAAGCGCGAATTCCGTGTCCACGAAGGAGCTTTGGTCCACCTGTCGGAGCCTCTTCGACACCTACTTGCTGGAGGCATGAAAGAATCCCTTGAGGGCAAGATCATTTGGGATGACGTCGAACCTACCACCTTCCTCCTTCTTTTGGACTATGCTTACTCCGGCTCCTACCCCATTCCCTACCCCGGGTACAAACACAACGACGAATCCGACTCAGAGGAAGAAGAAGACGCCAGTGAAGACAATGAATATAATGACTCACTACGAACATGGGTCAAGCACGCGTCGTCAGTGCGAGGCAACAAACACCTCGCAGTATTGGAGTTTTGTAAGGAGCACTTCTCCGAGTATGGAGTCAAAACAGACGGAGGTCATTCGCTCGGAAAGAAGGAATCTGAGGGACAGGATCCAGAAATAATTGTCGCATTGGATCACCTCTTGAAGCCATCACAACTCTACATTCTCGCCGACAGGTATCTCATCGATGATCTCAAGGAATCGTGCATCAACGATGTTGGCCGAAAGCTGTGGAACGCATCTGTAGACGACACGCTATTCGGTCACGTGTGCTCCGTCCTTCGCTTCCTCCATGCACAGACATTACCTGAGGATAAACTTCGAAAGCTATTTCTACGGTACCTCATTGGGTATTTGCAATATGCGATGCCAAACGGAGCTGAAGAACTGATCCGCGACTTTGCAGACTACGCTGTGGAACTGCTACTTGGAATACCCCACACCTACTGGCAAGAACTTCAAGATGTGTGAGAGGCACCGGGCGCTTGGAATCATTTGGGGTCGGGGTACGTCATTCGAGGGGTCTTATCAAAAGGGAAGCGCTGGAATTTCGGCGGACACATCCCAGGGAAACGTGGCATCTGAGAGGGCCATCGTAAGGACGAGGACTTTGGCATCTCCTATCTTCCAGATAGTCTCCCTTTCAACGAACTTCATTAGCTTTTTTCCTTGATCAAATTACTCGATCAAGGGATGAACGAATTTCATCAAGAACTCTTCCACAAAGAGTCCTTTGAAGCTGGAATACAAAAGAGTTTGTTAAATAAAAAGAGCTTCTGGAAATAATTTTGTATTTCGTGTACGTGAATGTTTTAGAATCGTCATGATGTGTTGAGTACAGCAGTTGGCTGCTTTCATCTAGTATCCATGTTTGATGTTCGAGTCGTTGCTCAAATGAATGCGGCTTCGTAATTTGCTTGCTTCTAAAAACATGCGATTGCCCAAGAACGCCTTCCCTTCTTCCCTGCAATGAACTTCTAGAGAGCAAGATCCTTGCCTGCTCAACACTTGCAATTACCATTGCACCATTCCCAATTGCCTATTTCTATCCTTCTTCCAAGCAAGTTGAGTCGTATAACTCGATAAAGCGCTTGTTCCTATCTCTTCAGGACTTTTCTTTGCTCGTCGTCGCGTCCGGTTGTGCCGATGCAAACTTTGCATTGACATCGTTGATCGCCTTCTCCCTTTCCTCCCAATACCTTGGGAGCTCAGTCATGACTTCAAACCCCAGCTCAGGCACACGATGCAGCAGATCGTTGAAGCTAGGCATCGCGCGCACCATGCTAAAATCGGCAACGCACGTCTGAACCAGCAGCTTTCGGATCTTGTCTCCCGGCATCGTATTGGCAAACGCGAACTCGATAACGCCGAAGAGAAGCCGGTACCCAGCGTCGCTGAGTCTTGCGCGCGTCAAAGAGCTGTGGAGACGGTGTAGGCTTACCTGCCTCAGCTGCGCAATGTCGTATCTGTCGGCGAATATGTAGAGTTGAACGTGATGCATGCAAATTTCCCCAAACAGGCGATTCGCGACCATAAGGTCAAAATTCGCCTCGAGTTCTTCGTCCTTGTTCCACGGCAACCCGGGCGGCATGCCGTACAGCTTTCCGGGGGTTCCTTGGTTGACGAAAAGCGTTAGGTATCTCAGATATGGTTGCTTGCTGGATAGTCTGAAGTCATATTTTAGGACGTGTTCGAAAAGGGAGTCGTAGTCCTCCCCTGGAATCAATTTGGCGTTATCGGGCTCTTGATCTTTAGCCTTTTGAAGTTTGTGCGACGTCGGCACGTCGTAGTTTCCGTAGAACGCAAAGTTGATAAAGCTCGTGAATACCTCTGGCTCAACGTCTTCAATATCGACAACGCCCTCGAGGGACTCGCGCATAGTATTGGCTAGCATGCGGTCGAAGATTACTGATCGGGAAGCTACGAGCTTCTCGTGGATCTGGAATGGCTTTTGGTCTGGACCGATTCGAAAGGTGATAACTCGTGAGGTGAGTACGCTGGCCAATAGTAAGTGGTATGTTCAGAACCGAAACTGAATGTCACGTACCCTTCAAGGTCAGGAATACCTCTGTTGAACGAAGCCGTGGTCGAATGGCTAAGGAGACGAAGTTCTGCCAGAGAACACCGCAACCGACCGGGAGTTGCCTTTGGTGGTTCCATGACTCCTGGAGGTGAAGCGGAGGAGTTTCAAGTCGACTTCTAGGAGTCTTTCTGGATTTAAGAACCCGCAGAGCTGCGAACAGGTGGATCAGTGGAAGGAGTTATCTGGACGTTCTTCCCCGTTTTCGACGTGGTTAAGAGTTTCAGTCCCTCTCATCACATGATAATATTGACTTGCCAAATTCCGCCTGTTTTCCTTCTGGTACACGTATATTTCGCAATTGCTGGTTAACAAAATTTGTGCTCACTTACCTACTTATTATCACTACTAATCATATAAGTCGTCCTCATCCTTATTATATCCATAATCTCCAGTATTTCCAGAAAATGCTTTCCATACATTCAGTAGAGAATACTTTTCAAACGAAGGATAGGGACAGCAATGACAATTAAAGAGGTAGATAGGATACCTATACCGCGGTAAATGTTTTTTCTCCACCCACTTGATGAGCCATATTTCAGTGATTCCATGACACCGCAATCGCTGTTAGTGTGGCTGAGGTCGGATCGCCAATAAAAGTTCCAAGTCTCTTTTTGTAGTCCTTAGCCCGCTGCCTATCTACAGCGCCTCATAGTCTCTTCGAGAGACAGTAACATTGGAGCAGGTAGTTCCGCCTCGAGTCGCGCTTGGGACACGAAAGCAATCGTTCGGGCAAGGCGCGCTTGCGTTGTACTGCCATGAGAAGAGAGGGTCCGTCTCGTTTGTGAGGATCTGTCCGATCATGGACGTTTGGTAGCCAGGCAGCTGGCGAGATTGCTGGAAAACGTCGTACTAGATAAGTATGTTTAGCAGGGGTGCGCCCATCTCTTCCTTATTTAGGGGTTCTTACACTACTGAGAGTCATAACACCCCAGCCGACGTTGTAGTTGTGCTGAATTGTTGTGCCATAGACGTATTCTGACAGGTCAGTGTTAGTCGTTGACGGGCACAACAGCTTCTAAGGGTAAACCTGCCTTTGAAACCCGCCCATCGAATTGCACTCGCGCACTGGAGCCCGTTAGTCACCGAATCTCCCGTGATTTCTAGCAACTTGAAGCACTTACCATCGGACACGACTCAGCGTTTGTGTAAATTGATAACTCTCCCCATGCGGCATAGATTTGTCTGTGGATAATATGAGCCCTGGTTCTTGTACATTAACTTACAGGCCTTACGTTGGCGTCATGCCCTGTTCAGCGAACTTAGCTGTGCATGCGTTGATGGCTGAGATCTCTCCGTGAACTGCAAGTCTTGTTAGTAAGTCCTAGCTACGATCCTCTTGTTTCTCAGTGCATACTTGTAGGGTCGCCGGTCCGGAAGTTTGCGCCCTCGCAGACGACTTCATCGCTGGTGTGGTTTACGATGATGGTTCCGAATGCGGCAAAGGGGCAACTGAGAGGATCTTAGTCAAATCCAGAACTCGAATTTTGTGTGGCAACGTACGGTCCGCTTTGCCGGAACAGAGCCTCGTTTGCCTAGCGAGAATCAGCACAGGTACGGTGGAATAGAACGCGTATTCTGTATGTTTACCTTCTGCATATACTCGACTCGCTTCGTTGCTGGGATCGAATTCACGGTAAGACCAGACATATCCTGGTCATCATTAGGAACAATGAAATGTGCCGAGCCAAAGCGCACGGCACCTAAAGCCAGTATTACATGTGAAACGAGCATCTTCATGTCCGGCAGGTAGATAGCTATCCAGCAAGGAATGGAGAGCAAAGTTGATCAACTCCCAGGTAGTTGATACCTCTTTATAGCAGCCAAAGCTATGTATCTTGAAAAGGAAAATGCCATTGTCGGCGAATTCCCTCAAGAGATAAGGGTGGTCGGGGAAAAGTGGAGAGCCACGCGGTGTCATCCCGACATTTCGGAACCATGGATCACATCGCGGCCGGATATTGAAGCTATCACCATGCCCAACCCCGCAGTAACCCCACCCTCGTCGACATGGATCTGTGCTAGTGCCATTTCTTATCACTGATGTTTTGCGGTGACCTCCTTGGCATCGCCTCGCATGGCAAAGATATCGGCCAGAGATACCGGTATCGGCTTGTTTGCGCCAGGAATAGGCTTTGAGTGGTACGAGGCGCCTGCTTTCCCAGTATTATCGTAAATATAATCTGTCAAACAACGTCACGGACCGAGGCCTATGAAGGCATGCAAAATGACGTGATGGGTCCGAGAGAAAATGTCAACGCATTGGCATTACACTTCCAGGCAATAATTACGTGAACTCCTTGTTTTTTTAATCTCCCTATGAACGCCATCCATCACCCAAACTCCAAAGAAGAAGGCTAAGTAATCTGTCGAGCCCTCTCCGTGATGAAGACAATTTCCCACCGTCCCAAAGCTTTTCCCGTATATTTCATAACACACAAGACCCTAGTCGTCAGTTGGAGTAGCGACATTTGGCAACTTGTCGAGCAGTTGGCGGCTGAAGGCTTCGTCACGCAGGCGCGTACTCCTTAACCTCGGGTGATGTCTCGAAGTGAGGAGAGTGGCGACGAAGTAATCCAGGATGTTGTTGCGGATCTCATTGCCGGGAGCGCCGCCAGCGCCGTGCTGAACAGAATCTTAGACAGTGAACAGATCAGCCACGGTGTACCTATTGAGAGGCATGGAAAGCAGGCATTCGCGGAAGTGCGCTTTGCAAAGATTCTTCAAAGGTTGAATACCGTATGTGTGCGCCACGTTCAAAAGGGCGATGTGGGCGTTGAGGGTGTCAAAGCGAACGTAGCGGCCAGGGAGTTTCTTTGTCTCGAGAGCTTCTTTGTGGATCGATTGGTCAAGCATTATGTAAAAGCCTTTATATTCACGAAGGAAATTCATGCCAGAATCGTGGAAGAACGATCCGTTCTCCGCGTACTCATCTCCCCGCTCGAGCTTCTCATAGAGTGAAGGCAAAACGCTGAATTCATCGGAGGCAAAGGTGCGGGCTTTGAGAACTTGAACGGTGTAGTCTTGACGATAGGCGTACTCCACCAGTCGAGTGAATGTAGCCTCATCGATGTCCCTAAGGGTGATTGAAGCGAAATTGGGCTGTCGTCGTCCAGAAGGCGGCATACGCACAAGTTTTGGAGAGAAGAATTTCATCACAGCTTCGGAACCGAGAATGACTTGCCGCTTTCGCCGACATGATATTCGATTTGTGGCGAATTGAGAAATCTGTACACAGACAGTCAGTGGGCATACCCTTCAGAGCAGTTGATAAGATCACTCACTTTCTCATGTCAAGTATTGATGGAATCATGGTGACCACTGTGTCCCCTAAAGCATAGGAGAATTTCTGGTGGCCTCTCAGAATGTTGCTGACGGTGTGGTACAGGGATAACTGTGTTCCAGTGTGAATTTGCCGACCTCGTTAATAGCTCTCGACAGCCTCTGAATGCAGAAAAATCAAGCTGATTCTCATGCAAAGCTACGAGTGACAGAAGACAGAGCTGTTGTTGATGGAGTAAATACCGGAGGAATTACAGAACGAGTCGGTTACTAAGATATCCCGGTAGAAGTCTGGGAACTTGACACCTGAGGTTCAACCTACTCGATATTTGCGTTTGTCAAAGGGAAGGAGCCAACAAGAGCTCCCTTCCTCCTTCAAAATTGGAACATGCAAATGGATTTAAAATTTTCATTGGAATTTTTCATATCCGCCTTAGGTATGAAAACGCTGAAGCCATTGCACGCAGCACATCTCATTTCTTCCATGGTCTGTAAGATCAAACTAATAACACAACCTCTGGATCTCAGGAGAAAATTAGCATTAAGGTAGATCATCAGGAGTGTCCTAATTTTGTAGGCCATCCACCAGCGTACTCACTGAGGTATCACAGACATCTGATATGGCTATGTTGTCACTGAGTTGGACTTCACCTGAGGAGGCCTGAGGTGCGTATGTCAATCAACCGCACCTAAATGGTTTCACTGTTTGGTCACGTGCCGTAAGTTCCAGATTATTCTATATTCATGATAGTAGTGCCCCTGAGTTCAGTTTTCGCCTCGTTCTACCTTTTCTTTTTGGCTGGTCCGTGGCGATGAACGTCCTGCAATCTCCAGGGGTTTGCCACAAGCTGCAGTTATTGTTGAATGAGCTCAGCTGCGCCATCATGAGCGGTGGTGTTCGAGGCGTCACTTGACTGAAGCTGAACGCTGAACGGTTCGTGCGTTGTGGCAATGCATGATGAGTCGAGGACTGTGCAGTCGTCGCTCTCGTGGAGTTTCCCGAGTCACCGGTCTAAAGTGGAGACCCGCCGGCGGCGCGGGTTCGGCTACTAAGGCCGGCACTTCTTGACAAGATCCCGAGGCTTTGTGATGCCGTCAGCAATTGGAGGCGTTGTGAAATTTGACTGCTAATTGCGCCTCAATCCAAACTCGAGGTTCATGCTTCCATTTATGTACCCTCAACAACTAACGACATGACGTCTCCAAGCACCCATAGTCCGATCATGGTGCTCGTGGTACAAGGTTTCGTATCTTGTTTCGTACTCGGCTTGAACCTCGCTTTGGCCCTCTAAACGCGAAACCGAGGTGCATGCGACTACAACTACCGAGCCGTTCCCACCAGCCAGCGACGCTTCTCATCCCAACCCCGCCTGTTTCTTCCAACGCAACATCCGCTGCGACACTCGAGCACCCAAAGCAACTCAACTCGACCCCTCGCCGCGCGCCTGGCTCCAACGATGGCCGAAGATCAGAATACCACGGACGACTCACATCGCGTCCCAGAGCTGCCGCTCCTCTCAAAAGTTAGGTACGGCGCTACGGCCTTTGCGATCCAAAATTTCTTGGTGAAGCCCGCGCTCTTCGTTCGCGATGTCAAAGCACACGTCATCCCGCCTGAGAACCGTCCAGAGATCGTGAAGACGTACGAATGCAGGCCGTACTTACCCGTCAGGTGCGTTCTTGTATTTCACCCCAATTTTTGAGAGTCCCCATCGCACTGGTGCAGAGATTGACACGTTCTAGAGTATTCTTCCCGAAATGCTTTGACAAAACGTCGAAAGACAAGCTGCCGGTTCTCTTCACGATCCATGGTGGTGGATTCGTGCTCGGTACGCCAAATGACAATGACGATTGGAATCAGACGTATGCTTCGCAGCACCACTCGATTGTCATTGGCCTCAACTATGCCAAAGCTCCGGGCAACCCGTTCCCCAAGCCGATTCATGATTGCGAGGAGCTCTTCCTCGCCGCGCTCAACGATGACTCGCTTCCGTTGGACCGTACCAGAGTATCGCTGGCCGGGTGGTCTGCGGGCGGCAATCTGACTCTGGCGGTCGCGCAACTGGAGACAGTCAGGAAGCATCTCACTTGCATCGTCCCATTGTACCCGGCGGCTGATCTCTCCATCACAGGAGAAGAGAAGGCCCCGACGCGGCAGTACAAGCCTGAGCTTGGAGGCTTCCGTGCAAAGGAGAAGGACTTCCTGCAAGGAATTGCACCAGTGTTTGACTGGGCTTACAAGATCCCCGGCGAAGACAGCCGCAACCCGCTACTTAGTCCTACCTTCGCGCCCAAGGAGGCTCTGCCCAAGCAAGTCTTCATGATCGGCTGCGAGCTCGACATGCTTGCCCATGAAGGTCAGAGGCTCATTCACAAGCTTGCGGGCCGACCACCGCCACCAGCAAAGGTTGGAAAGCCTGAAGTTGTCGGCGATGGCGAGCTCGTGCTAGACGACGAGGTTTATCACTTCGAGGTGTCTGGCGCTGACGGAAGCCGCTACCGGTGGCTCTTAGTCCCTGATACAGTGCATGGCTTCGACCAGCATCTGGACGGCATCGTGCGTGATCCGGTTTTGCTTGAGGACGCCAAGATCAAGACGCAAAAGACCATCAAGATTATCGGAGAATGGATTCTTCAAGCTCCTCCTATTAGCGAAGCTTGATGATCGTCTTTGGTTGAGAAAGGGGTGGGACTTGTTTATATTGTGGCGTCGAAGAAATCGATATGACTTTGGAAGGATATCAGCTGCGAGGCTTCTGCTATTTGCGTTCTGCTTGCCTATTCGATACTCTGTATGACATGTACTTGCTACTACGTTTATATGAATATTACAACGTATTTACTCGCTTCATTTGGCAATCATTGCCATCACCTTGCTGATTGAATCCAACATATGTGCGCTAAATATCAGCAGCCACACGCTCACGATATGAATCCTCTGAGTCCGCAGGAACCGAAAAGGGGAGAGGCCAGGACCTTATGGTATATTGCATCTCAACTTTCCTGCTAAGCAATCTCCTTTACTAAGGTAATGATCTATCTAATGAACTAGATGACATTCAATACCAATCATGCGACAAGCCCATTCTCTACTTACGTTTATGGCTGTAAGAAGCAAAAGCTCAGCTTTCCTCGTAATGAGCCTACGAAAATTCTGGGAGACTCTGTCCCCCACAGGTGTAATGATGCAGATATTTTCCACCAGACTCGAAGACAAAAACCATACAAGCGGGCCAATTCAAATGAGAGATTTCTCGCTACTTCATAGGCCTTGGTCCTAAATATCATCCTATCCCATATAATAAGGTGTGTCACGTCGATGTGCGAACCCTGATAGTCGAGACCATCTTCCAAGGTATCAGTCTGGCCTTCCGCGGTGACTCACAGACTCTTCTCGCACCACGTAGAAAGTAGACGATCTATCTCCTTGACTATCTTCCACATATATCCATAGGTACGAGCGCTCGTAGGCCAGAGCGATGCAGAGTGGTTGCATAAGTCCCTGGTTCGAATCCAGGTCGTGCCCTTATTTTCCTTTTGTGTCTCGCTTGATCCATCATAAGTCAGCTCTGTTCAACTGTAACGACAGGTTACAACCTGAATCCTATCCACAAGGAAGCACTTAAGATCTAGTCATGTCCCCTCGACTTTGATATATCCCTTTCCATATCCAGAGGCCTACTAGAACTTTGTAAACGAAACCCTTTCACGATGAGCCTACAGATCCTGACGATCCTAAGTCCTAGAAAAGTATGGTATCCATGACGGTCTCGTTTTGCTACCTGGTTCAAAGATCATCTGATACGGAATGCGATAATCTACTCCATAGCCAAGAAAGTTATTGACATGGCCCTGCAACTCACGCGCTTCTTAATACACGTGAATATTAAGGTATCAACATCCCCTTCTTCAATAGTATAGTCGAGAGAGCAGTCGCCGTAGCATGAAGGGGCCATACTACATAAATAGTAAAGGCGATCTCGGGCCTCATGTATCAAGACTTGGAAGGAAGGTCTTACGGTTGTGTAACAAATTTGTTCCCAACGAAAGAAACCACAACGGGACCCGTATTGTCTTTTTAAATCTGCCTTAATTCACTACTCTATCTGGTTTCCTCTTTACTCAGATTAGCTAACTCGAAACCACCGTGCCAGGCGCCGGCATCTTCAGATTGATCAAATAGTCGTCTACAACGCGTGAGGCATCACCCTTGAGCAAATAGCTTGTATGTCCAGACCCTTCTCTAAGAAGTAAAGTCGCGTTTTGAAACTCTTCCATCATGCCAGCTGCATACACCAGGCTCGTCGCCGGATCAAATCTAGAATGTACGAGCAAGATGGGCGGCGTGTCCTTAATATTCAACGCCGTCCGAGGGTTCGTAATCTTGACTGGGTACCCGGTGCAGTCAATCACCCGATGCCAAAATTCTCCCATACCTGGCGTAGTCGTGAAAGTCCGGGTCATATCAGCCACTCGCTGCACTTCGACATGATCCTTAGCAGCGAAGAAATGTCCGTCCTGACACTGTACATTTGTAATCGATAAAGAGCGAGAGTCGGTAAAAATGTCGCCAGATAGTAGACCCGGAGTAAAGAAGGAGCCATTCCCAGTCGCCCCAAGCTTCAGCATCTCGGCAAATGCTTTCCGATCTTGGGGGAACTCCAGAGTCGACCGTGCAGAGCCTATCACGTTGTTTGGTGTGGCAACAGGCAAGCAGCCGGTTTTGATGGTCCCGTCACACTCAGCGGCCTTGAGGTTCCCGGCGCCCGCGACTTCAAGGATCTTGTTCCATGTCTGCCGGATGTCTTGTCCTCCCTCTCCGCAATTAGTAGCGTTAGCTTCGCAGAACCGGAAGAATGCCTGGATGGTGGCGTCCAAGGACGTGGCTTGTGTCATGATGTTCGATGCGAAAGACCCAGTGTGCTGCAACATCCCATCAAGCGCCATGGCACGGATTGCCGTGGGAAACAGTGCAGCATATTGAGCCCCAAGCTGTGTTCCATATGACACTCCGAAATAGTTCATGGGTTCTCCCCCAGTAGCTGTCTAATGTTAGCTCCTCCAGCCAGGACAAGTTGATAGGCCATAGATCTTACCGACACGGACAGCCTCCATGTCCTTGGCGACGAATATGGTGTCCATGTTGTCGAACAATGGACCAGTCATTGCCCGGCAAGACTCACCCACAGCTTTGTTGTAGTTGAACAGCTTCTGGAAACCCTCCGGCGTAGTCGCATCAAACTCGCTTGGCTGATTGGCCAAATTTGTGTCGCACTTCTGCGGTGTACTCAGACCAACACCTCTGGGGTCCATTCCAATGATATCGAATGACTGGCGTACCGCGTCGCTGATATAAATCCCTTTCGAAGCCATCCGCGCGACCATGCTCGAGGCTGCCCCTCCAGGCCCGCCGGGATTCACAAAGAGATTACCAATGCGCTTGCCCTGTGCCGGGAGTTTGACTATTCCCAACTGAACTTGAGGGCCCATGAGGTCATTGTAGTTCAATGGAACCGAGAAATTTGTACATTGGAGGGCCGATGTGGCGTTGTTGCCTTTGAAAGGTCGAATGTCCCCAGGACAAGCTGCCCATACTATCGGTCCCTGAATTTCCTGATGGGCTGGACCGACAGGTTGAGGAATCTTGACGGCATTCGCAGCGATGACGAAGGCCACGACGTCCAGGAGCAGGCGGGAAACCTGTGAGTCCTTCATCATAAGCTACTCGCGGACGTTTGATAGTGTTGAGGTCCCGAACTCCCCATGAAAAATTGCCGTGTCGTAGGTTGAAGTGATGGTCCACGGGCGCAATAGAGAAGGCAGGGTACGGACGAGAACATTCTTAAGGGTTGAGTTCGTTTCCCCATCAGATTGGGTTCGTCGGGAAACATGCTTTGGATGTGCCCCTGGCAGGCAACCTTGAATCAAGAACCACCCCCCGAAAGTGCCGCTTGTGACTGTGTTGGCCTTGCGACGACACCGATTTTCGCTTTTTGTTTGTGGCCGAAGTGTCTCGCGCCTGTATCAACTTCTCCCTGGCTGCCCATGAGAAAGCTTACCGTAGGGAGGTTGAAACTGGCGTACAAGGAATCGGTACCGATTAGAGTTTGTGTAAGCTTCCTAAAAAAAGCTTATTACGGCAACCATCCCGCCGGCTGTATGGAAATCGTAAGAAGCTAGCAGCGGTGCCAGGCAGGCCAGGTACGGTAACTAATCTTTCTTTGTACGCGGTAGTGCATCAGCGACCTTTGGGGAAAGAGTTGTCGCGGAGACAAGTTGATTACGGGCAGCAATGAACGCCTCATCCTGCACTACACTCTCAAAGATTGAACGGTCAGGTTGGTGCCCTGGTTAAACCAAGCTGCCGGAACCCGCGTGAGTCCAGTTCATGACTCCAGTCCAATTGTCACGAGTTACAGCACGCAGCAATAGGCTTACGGAGTATAATAAAGTAGCTTAACCTATTATAATAGAAATAGATAAAAAAGAGAGGTCTATCTATAGGGCATAAATAATATACATATAATATAATATATATATAATATAATATAGGCTGCGTAGCTTAGTAATATAAGTCTAGGGAGTCTGAGCGTTTTATTTAATTTTTATTAAGCGCGATAATTTTAAAAAAGGTAGTTTAAAGCTATTTATAGTTAACGTTCTTCTATACTTATAGAATTAGTAACTATATAAGTATAAAAATCCCCCCGACAGAGCAATCCGCTAGGGCCGTACTATATATTATATATTAAAAAAAACTAAATATATTGCGCTCTAAACTTAATTATTAATTAAAAAGCTCCCGACCTTTTATTACCTATTTAGAGAGCGAGCTTTATTTATTTTAATATATATAAATTTTTTTAATATTAGTCTATATAAATAGCTAAGTTTAATATAATCTCTTTTTTTATATAAGTATTATTATTCTTTAAGGGGGCTTATAAAAGCCGTTTTAAATATTAATTTACTACTTTAACTCTATATATTTTTAGTCTATTTATCTTAGCTATTATAATTAAATTAGTATTAATTTATTAAATTTTAATATTAATATTAGCCCGGCTATTTATAATATTTATATTATTACCTAGCTAAATTCCGTATTATTAAAAAGTACTTCGCTACTTTTTAAATATATTTATATTAGTTATGATAATTATAATATTAAGCTAGTTAAAAAAGAAACCTAGTTTAAGGGGAATAAATTTGTTAAAGAGTATTATTAGTCCTAGCTTACTAATTATTAATTATATATTAAATAAATAAGTTCTCGTTAATATAGTTTAATTAATATTATAGCTAGCTTATCGTAATAAATATATTAATAGAAGTTAAGGCTACGAAGGCTAAATAAATAGTATTATAATTATAAATAGCTTCCCTAAAACTATATCTATAAATTATAAAATAAATAAAGCTTTAGTAATTAATCGTAGTTTTATTAAAAAGGGTTTTTAATAAAAATAATTAAAAGTAATCGTAAAATTTAATATTAAGTTAATTATTAAAAAAGCTATAAAAAGTCTATTTTTAAACTAAGCTTAAGTTTATACTATATATAAGTCTTATTTTTAAATATATCCTTTATAATATTTTATTTATTATTATTTAATTATTTACTAAACGGTTATTTATTTTATTTAACTATAATTATATATCCTATTTATTTATAAGCGTCCGTTTTTATTTTATTATATAATCGTAGTTACGTAACTTATTTATAATTTTTTATTTTAAAAAGAGTCGTTATAAGTCTATTACCTCTATATATATAATATAATAGTTACTATAAGTTTTATAGGGCAGGCCCTAGCTTTATTATATATATTAAATTATAATATTAGCT